CAGCAGGAGTTTTTTTTTTTCCCAAGGGGAAGGGAAGGTGTAGAGAAATGCTTTTGCTGCTGTAACTCATTAGTGTAGTTCCCAAAACAGAAAAAATGCTGAATTTGACATTAGTGTGCAGTGTGAGTTCAACTCCCCTCTGTGCCACTTGGTTCACAAATCACATTTGTCCCTAAGAAATGAAAGGATCTGATTAGAGAAGTTGCGTTTATTGTTTACAGCTGTGATACAAAATGGCTGTTGCAGAAATTATTTCCCCAGGTAAGAAAATGAGCACTCAACAATGTTCTGGTAAAGATGAAGGAAGGAATTCAAGAATCACTTCTTCACCTAAAATTCATGGTTTATTTCTTAGTTTCACTGACGGGATTTTTCATTCTCTTCAATGATTATTCATGACTCTCATCCTTCTGGTATGTACACAGTGTTATGCACCAGCCTTGGCCTGTACAACCACAAACCAGATGCAGGATTTTACAGAACACAGTTTGCTTTTATAGTGATCACACACTGATGTGAACATAGACTAGAAATAACAAATGTTGCTTTAATAAGGATTTTTTTTTTTACAGTAGGCAGAGATATAAAAGTTTTTCAAATTATTTTCACAGGTATCACTGAACATTTCATAGCTGTCTGTTACAGAAGCACCCAAAAGTGCTTTGAGTCTTTAATTTATTATACACAGTTAAAATATATTACACTTCTGAAAGTATCTTAAATCACTGAACAGTTTTGCTAGCATCTTGATGAGCCAAATGGGAGTAAAAGGCAGTCCACATTCATGATGTGAATATACAGTAAAGGTGTTTTGACATCCTAGTAACTCATTGCTCATGTTCTCAAAATAACCATGGTGATGAGACCTGAAAGACAAAAATTGAGAACTAAATGCTTTAATTTCACTGAATAAAACCTTCAAAACAAAGCCAGTTTACCCTGTCACAGACCAGAAAATCAGGTAAAAGTGCATCACTATGTGCAAAATTTATTTATATATACCCACTTAAATATTAGAAAGTATTGCTCTGAATTTTTATGTAGTAAAAAATGACACCAAAGTGCAGTCTCTCTCCTGAGGAAACTTCCCAGAAGCTCTAAATGCTCCAAACCAACTCTCAGTCTCACTGGAAAATTGAGCTTTTTTTGACTTAGGTAAGTCCCTCATCTTTCAAGGGGGCTGCTCCTGGGCAGGGTCACTCAAGTGCTGAACCATCAGTGAGGCAGGTTAGCTGGAAGCTCCAAAGACTGTTTTGTTTCTGCTCCGTGCAAAATAACTGATCAAAGACTAGTTTTAGACAGAGGTGTTGAGCTCCCTTGTCAGCCTGCATGGGGAGCTTTGTTGTGACCTTTAAAGAGGGAGAAAAAAACCAACAAAACCAACTGCTTTGATGGAGGTTAAAAACAATTAAAAGCAGATGAAAGCAGGAAATGTGAGGCTAATAAACCTACTCATGACACACTGAAAAGTTCACTTTAATTATGTGCTGATACAGGAAAAGGTACAAATCTGCAAGTTCTTAACCAGGAGTCACACTGCATAAGGCAAAGAAGCATATGGAAAAATACTTGGGCTCCTTGAATTCCAACCTAATGTAAGATCAAAATAGTAATTTATCAGTTCTTGGGCAGTCATGCTTGCTTTCCTCTGTTAACATTATGGCCTTTTACTGCAGAAAGTTTACTTAAAGCCTACAGGTCTCACCACAGATAAATACTTTTCTGAGACTGTTTTACTCTCCTGCCACTAGAAACTGATTGAACTAACTTACTTTATAAAGATTTTGAAAGGAGAAGCATGACAGAACAGAGTTGCAATGTTGCCTTCCATAAAAGAAGTAATTTATCCATTAAAGATGAATTACCGTTCAGCTATTTCTTAAGGTCTATGAGCTTAGACAATCAACTACCAGAACTGACAGGCCTCAGCTTGGAGGATCTCAATCTAGAGGCTTCTGGAAGGTGCTACAGGACAGCTGTGCCTCCTGGAGAGTGAATTCCAGGCAACCATGAGTTTAGCTCATTGCTGTGAAGCAAACACTCCCTAAATGTCACACAGCCCAGCTGGTGGGGTGTTCACTTCCCTTTCCAGTCAAATGCTACACAATCCAGTTGTACTTCGTTGGGGAAGAAGGTGGTTCCATCTTCTCAAGAGCACTTAACTTCTAGATGAGCAAGAGTTGCACACAGAAGAATCATCGTTTCATAAACTACTAAAGGAATCAAAACCTGAAGGAACTTCACAGTGTATCTGGAAATGGGTTAAGCTGTTGCAAATATGTCCAGGTAAATGGTCTAAAGCTACAGTTGGCACCAGCAGAAACTGGAGTAATTTTCAAAATTAGAGATAACAAAGCAAGGATTCCTGCAGGGTCCTGCTCTGAAAATACATCCCCTCAGGCAAAGAGTAACAAGTGAGTTTTCAAACCATTCCAGCAGGCTGCCTTGCACGAGTCAGCCAGCCAGCTGAGTGTGCAAGGAACCACCACCAACTTGCATCTCCTCCCATCCCTACCTCACCTCTAGCTATCAGTTTGAAGCTGCCTAGCTCGCTTCCTTTACATCCTCATTTCTGCCAGGTAGTGGGACAGGAGAATTTAGTGGGACTGTTCTTCAAATCTGAAATAGTTATAGAAAAATAGTCATAACAAATGAAATGTGCAACTTATCTATGCTTGCTAATTTAGGAGCAGGTTACAAATCAGGAAGAGCTGTGGATGGTGGAGTCTCTTAAGAAGGGTTCACAGCAACTTATTTCTACACATTTCAACTGCTTATCAAGAAGGATGTGAATGGACCCTTTCACAGCAGCTCATCTGGGATGGAGAGGGGAACAACCCAAAAGATCTGGGTTCTGCAAAGGAGGAACTATTTCAAGATGAGAATAAGAACCAGCACATTCCATTCAGTTTTGTTGGCAGGTGACTACAGCTGGCCAGTCATCAAATGAAGGTGAAATTAACATGTAGGGACCTGTATATAATAAATACCAACTGAAATCTGGTCTAAAATACTTACAATAACTAATTTACCTCAATATCACTACGGCTGCGAGTTACAATACATGTGGAGATAGAAAACAAAATGAGGTGCTTTGTCTCTGTCAGGTTTCTTGAAGCCACTGGTGAACACAGGAGAAGTTTTCCAAATCAGAGAAGTCGCAAGAAAACACAAAATCCAAACTACTTACCTAAAACATAAGCAGCTACTAACTTTTGATTCACACTTAAATGGAGGTAGAGAGGTACCAGGGATTCCATTTCCCCCAATGTAGGTAGCATTAGTGCTGTAATACACACGATTCCTAGGAAGACTGTTAGTAAACTAGGTCCCGACGAGGCAGTTCTGTTTTCTGAAAGACAAGATGGGACCAAGTGTGAAGAACATCTGCCTCATATCAGTGGTAAACATTCTGCAAAAATGTTTGTGGTACGTTGGAGCTGCAAAATCCTGAGGTCTTCTTCTCCCTTTGCTGTTTGGAGGGGGTGGAAGACAACTCTTAGAGCCACGCTCCCAAAGCTTCTGCATCCAGCAGGGGAGAGGGCTGCTCCCTGTTGTGATGTTGGAATTTGTTTTCACAGGACTTCCCAAGCCCCTCCCTTCTGGAGGAACAGAGCCTGCCAGGTTCAGTAGCTATATATACACACTTGAGACAGCTGGATGTTTCAGCAAGGCTTGAGGTTTCTCCATGCATCCTGACTCCATTCCTTGCTATGTTCCTGCTGTGATTAGTAACTAACTGGGAACACAGCCCTGAGGGAGCTGCACAGGCAGGTAGCTCTGCTCGCACCTCCAGAACAAGACTTGGCATCAGCAGGAGCACAGAGGCTGGGGCCAGAAAAATTCCCCTCCTTCATTTAGAGGATTCAAGGGCTGCACCTGCCAGAACCAGTTTATGTGCCACAAAAATCAGTATCATTTGAAACCCACTTTAAAAAACCCACCCCTGTAAGTGAACTACTGACAGTCCAGTATTACCAGAACAAGGAAATGCAAACGTCAGATGAACTGTCCTTGTGCTGCAGTTTAACAGCTGGAACGTCCTCAAGGGCACATTGTGTAACCTTTAAGAAGAGCTTTCAACACCTTAGCTGAATACCTCCAACCAGATTCTTCAGGCCCATGAGAAACTACCCAGTGTTTTACCAAGTTTTTCTACCCTCAGAGTGACTTGCAGTCTGAGCCCTGTTTTCATCCCATAAATCTTTTACTCCTAGGCTGCAGGTTGTATGCAAAGACTGTAGCTGCTCTGTTTGTTGTTCTCTCAGCAAGCAATGTCATGCAGTCAGGCAGGTTTTTAAGCAGAGAAACAGCATTTGGATCAAGACCAGCATCAGACTGTCAGGATGGTTCAGACCCTCTGTACTGAAACAAGCATCATAGTAACATTTTGTTCTGTGAGCACAGAGATCCTGTAGGTTTATTTTAACTCTGTATCTAACTCCTACCTATTTTTTAGTAAAAGGTGTTTCACCAGCCAACAAACTATGCATAAATAGTGAAACAACTGGGTTTTAGCAGAAGGAACACTCTCAAGCAAGTTATTCTATATCATGGAATTGCTTTTTGCTCGTCATGAGAAATGAAGCAGTGACAAAAATATTACAGCATAAATCAGGAGAGGTCAAGTCAAGAATCACTTTAGATTCAGTTCCAGGAAAACCTGATACTTTTTATATTTCTCCCAGCCACTCCAGTCTCACTGATCATCTCAGGTTCTGCCCAAGACTTGATTCACTTCCTCACCAATGAAACGTGCAAAGTTTCCAGCTACCAACTGTGCTTTTCTGTACTCGTGAGACAAAGAATATGGCACAGAACAAGGAGCACATCAGAAGATGTTTTGGCAATATTTCCTGCTCATCAGGAAATGGAGGATTAAGTGTTTGGAAGAAACTCAGAAGGGACATATGTTTTCAAAGAGCCCAAGGGAAAAAATAGCTACCAACCACCATCCTTTTGCAGATAAGTTCCCATTGGCTGTGACAGAGGAACATACTCTAAAGGCACAACATGCAAATGTGGGGCAGCAAAGGATCTTGATTAACCAAGAGAGCATAAGCAGAATAGCCATAGTTTGGATTCTTGGACACTATCATCCCTGACATCTTACAAGTAAGACCAAGAACTATTTAAAAATCTATTTTCTAGTCTTTTTAGCCACCAATTCAGAACACAGGAGAGGTAAAAGATTTCAGCTACCTGGTTGACACAAAGTCTGCTCAAAAAAGACACTTTCTGCCAGGTGTTCTTTTATTCGTTTTTCCTCCTCTTCCTTTTGTTGCTGTTGTTCCTTTGCAGATGGAAGCAGAGTAGCAATAATCTCCTTTTTCCCTAGTGCTTTCCTCTGGCTCTGCTCAGACACTTGCAGACGGAATTTATCTATCACACCATAGTAGGATGGGCGAACATCTCTGTGACGAATCACACTGCAGAGGAAAACAACACCTTCAAACAGAGGAACTCTGAAAAAACAAGGATCCTGTGGAATTGCAGCCTAAATCCCCATCTTTCCCCTCTTCCCCCCCTGCCACAGATGGCAATAGTCCAGCTCCCCATTCCCTCCCCATCACTCAGTGTTCTGGAATGTTTCATCTTGTTCTCTACCCTCACCTTCCCTCTGGTGCCCACTTAGACCTGCTCCAACTGGCTGGCAAAAAAGAACAGTTAATTCCTCATCTCAGGCACAGTCTGAGACCTTGCTGCCAATTTTTCATGAAACATCAATTATCTGAAAGATGCCTCCTCCTTTATCAAAGTTGTTTTTATGCTGGCCAATGATTTTAAAAGGTCTGGGGGGACTGACGTGGTCAGAGAAGGGAAGAAGAAAAGTGGGACTGCCAAATGCTTGGACAGGGGATGGCAAAGTCCAGCTTTTTGAGGAAACCTGGCTCAAAGCTTTACAATTGTACTTTCTCAGAAGCAAGACTCATTCCTTCTACAGACGAGGTAAAGGGATTTTCAAAATCAGAAGCTCACCCTGTACCACTGCAGCAAAAATGACAGCTCTGTATCTACAGAAACATTTATCTCCTGTCTTTCGCTCAGTGGATCTGGAGCTCAACAGCAGAGCCCTGTGCTGTCAGAGCTTTGCTCATCAATTTAGCTCCCTTGAACACATTTTGTAACCTGCAGACACTTTACTGGCTGCCAACAGCTAGGCCAGAGGTAGCTACTTGAGGTGCCACCACAGCTGAGCCTGAGGGGTAGGTATCAGTTACAGAGCTTCTTGGGGAACTTCACTGCCCAGAAACCACTCTACTGCTCTACTGTTTTATCAAGACAGTAAGACAGGCTGGTAATTGTAGCAGTCCTTCTAGTTTTATAGCATTTCATGGGGACAATTCTCTGTGGGACCTACAGAAGGCAGAGTTTTTAAATTACACTGATCAAAGCCAATCCAGACCTCTAAGGATTTGTTATGGAAATACACACATACAATATAAATAGGTATTTTTGTAGATTAGCTTCAAGCCAGCTGCCATCTCCTGACAGGGAGAAAAGTATTCTACCTTTAGTGATACAGGAGAGTAGTCTTAAAACTACTTCAAGAAACCAATCTTTGTGATAATATATACACTGAAATACTGCAAAGAACAGATTTCTGTGTTTCAGTCTTCATTTAAAAGAACTGTATCACATCAAGAAAACTCCAGCTACTAACACGTAGCCAGTGCTTGTAACTGGTATCTAGTCTGAATAGATTATTCAACAAGGAAACAGAGTAAGTCATCCCCCAGGCTGGGGACTGCAGGGGTATATGTAGCTCCATGTCACTTCAGAGGCCATGGAGGTGGGTATGACAGGCTCCAATAAGCTCAGTGCTGGCTGGACACCTGCCTTCAGCTGAAGGATGGCCAGGGGGAAACAAGCCTAATCCATACAACTCTCAGCATATCAGAGCAACAGATTCTCATTTCTTCCTTTTAACACTTCCTTTTACATTTCTGTTCCTACTGTTGGTACCACAGTACTAACTACCAACCTCAGCAGGATCTTTACATAACACTGTGCTGGGAGAACATGCATCTGCTGCCAAGCAAAGAGATGTGTTCTGCAGACCCTTATAAACAGATACATTCTCCTGTTTCTTTTTAGAGGCCATTGCATAATTGGAAGCTCTGTAGAATATCTGTTTATCTGGCAAATGGCCACACTTGCATAGTACTGCTCATCTCCTAGCAGTAAACACTGCCCTTAGACAGCAGCCACTGGGACAGGATGGGGGGGTTTTGCTGCACAAAAATTTCTCTTTATTTAATGAAATACATTTGTTGCAGATGAACCTAAGGTAATCAAGCTTGTGTAGATGTCTGCTAGAGCCTGGAACAGCTCACTGATAACACTGGTATATTCTGACCTGTTTTGTTCCATTTTTAGGATTGCTGTGCCTGCCTGCTGAAACTTTTTGTTCAGTGTTTTAAAATTCCTACTTGTTGAGTCTTTGGGATGTTCCAAATTATACCTAAGGAGAAGAGTTTACAGGAGAGACCCATTCCCCAAGCACAGTATCATTTATCTCACAAAAGAAGGATCCTTCAATAGCAGGTTTTTTGGTGTAGAGCCATTTGTTAGCCAGATTCATTCCAGTTTGCACATTTCTAGTCAGAAAGCTCAGTCTCCTCTTTCAGGGACTCTAATTTCTTCCGTTGCATCTGTACATCAGCACAGAAATCATGTGGCAACCGGAAGATGGAAACATTTGGTCTATTTTAGCATCTCTACCTACTCTACTTTGAATTCTAGCAGCCTACAGACCCTGTACATTTCTGTGGTCACTTAACTGGGCTTCTTCTTTTGTGTTATTGGACTCAGACCTGAGAGGAGAAACAAGGGAAGGGCAGACAGAGGAGCCAGAAGAATACAAGAGGTGAGAAAAATACTACATCCTCATCCAACTTAGTTTATGCTATGCATGCTGTCACTCACTATGTCTTAAATAATAAATTCAGGTAATTAAGTGTCATACACTAGAAAAATAAACACAACAACCAACTCCTACTTACATATCAACACAGCACTGAGGCTTCACTGCACCTGTAGCATCAACCACCGCATATTTATTTGGAGTTGTACAAAGAACTGCAATGGAAAGGACAGCAATGGTAACAAAGGAGGCAGTCACACCTCATCAGCTTCATCAACAGACACACAGCAAGACATGAGGTTGGTTTTGTCACAAATACGCTTTGTTACACGAATTATATTGGACTGTTCAAGATCACCAACTAACCCTTAAATAGAACTTAACCTAAGAAACCCACCTTTGAATTTTAAGGCAAACTCATAGGGGTTATATAGAGTCAACACCTGCTTGTGTGTTGACTGGTCATCTGCATAAAATATAAGTTCTGTAGGAAAAACAAAAACAGGAAGATTTCCTTCCACTAACTCTGGCTGTCTTTTTTGTTGCTGCATTGGCACTGAATCCTCCTTGCTGCTTCTTGTGTTCTTATGATTTTGTGTCCTCAGAGACTTCAGTTTTTGAATCGTTTAAGAATTCCAAAGCATTTTGGCAATTCTAAAGGAAAAAAGGGGGAAAAAAAAGAGAAAAGGCAAGAAGATTATTTCCATAAGTCTATACTAAGCTGAGGCAGTCAACAAAGGTGTAAAAATATAGAACTTGAAGTTTGGTTATGACTCTACCTTAACTTAGGTTTCTTCAAAAACACAGAAAGAGAAAAAATATTTGCATTGGGTTTCCATCTGTTTAACAAACTCCTGTAAAATCAACAGATAAACACTTCTGCAGTGTCTCACAACAGCGTTTTGGGGTCTCAGTCCATGGCTAGGGCTGCTTTTGCTGGGTCCCTGCAACACAAACCAACCACCACCATCCAGCTATCCTATCCCTGCCTGGGGACACTAACACTGGCGGGGAAAAACAGGGCAGAAATGAGGAAACACAAGGAGGTGGGGCAGTCACTGTCAGTGCAGGAATCCCTCTGCACTGCTGACCTGCTCTGAGCATTCCCAGATGAGGTATCACCGCTTAGGCACCTGCTCACCAAGGAATGTCAGATCCCAGAGATTCAGAACAAAAGAATGGGGAGCACTGTCATGCCTTGTTGAAACTAAACACTCCTTAGAATTGCTTGATAGTTACAGGCAACAAACTGAAAAATAACTGGGATTAATAATACCAAACAGATTTATATTTGATTTAAAAATCAGACCAGTTTTCCACCATCACTGCCTCTAACATATAATAATATCATAGCAATTATAATTCTTCCTTCTGCCATCCCCACTGTTTTGTTTTATTCTGAGTGACATTCCAGAAATACATTCAGAACCCATGACACGATCAAGCAACAATCCCAAATGTATTTCATAAATCAAATTCAGGCCAGACTCCTCGCACACATATTGTTGACTTTACACATTACAGAACAAACTGAAACAGCTACATATATTTTTATTTTCCCCCCAAGAATATAATATTTTACTGTACCTCCTACAGGTTAATGGTCAAACTGGAGATGTCCTTTGAGGCTTAACTTTAGTAGAAAATATTAAAAGAACCAGAAGTTCTTACTAACTCAGTAGCTGCATTTTCCGCTTCCAAAGCGGATTCATAAAACAAGGTCCATTCCAGCTGTTCTCTGGTCTAATAAACTAATTTGGCTGCACCTTAAAAGATTAATTTCTGAACTTTGTACCAAAATGAATGATCAAAAACAAATGCTTGTTTTTTGCACTCTAAACATCATGATGCTCACATTTCCAAGCACCAGATATATGTTTCATACTTGAAACATGACACAAGTTTAGGTCTAGTTTACTAGACTGTATGTGCCATATCTTCAGATTTACATGTTCTGATTCTTATTCTCAACCTAAGCTTTTAAATTTATTTATTTAAAATAGAAAATAATCCCTGTAGAATTTAAATTTGTGGCTCTTACTGGAATATCTTCCCCCAAGATCCAGTTTCTTTTCAGAGCACAGGTTTGTTTCCACGTCACTGAAATGCTACTAATAATATTCTGAAAACAAATCCCCAATGATAGTGTTCCAAGTTGATGTTCTGCTACCTTATTAAGAAGAGTATAGAAAAAGAAATAGGTCTCTAAGTGGCAATTTGGGCTCCAAGTGCTTCTTAGAATTTTGGTGAATCCCTATTGTTTCACAATTAAACTCTGGCATCAGTTTGTGCAGCAAGTATACGAATTATTCAACAACTTTCTGTACTATTGCAAAGTGAAATTCATTGTTCCATTCAGATATGTTAAGACTATATGAAGAGCTAATGTGGAAAAACTGCCATGAATACAAAATAACTTCTTTGGAATCTCCTCCTAGGCTTGGGTTTTGTTTTTTACAAAAGTCAGCTCAATGCAGCAAGCAAGAATCTTTGGTTCTCATACCTGTCTCTCCTGCACACATTATGGGTAACAGAAATAGAGGCAGGCTTTGAAATTAATAAAAGGGTTTTTTTCCTAATAGGTGTTTTGAGCCACTGTACAACCAATAGCAAACTCTGCTGGATATTTTTAAGTGACTATATTTAATATTTTTAAAAAAATATTTATAATCATTAACTTTATGTCAATGCTTTGGTTTTTATTTAAACACAGGTTCCATTCTGATTCCTGGCAGTGTACCACAACTCCAGCTTTTTCAGCTGGGCCAGCAGCAAGTGTTCAGGTGTCCAAAAATCCCAACATCACTGGAGGTATGGATCACTGAGCCAATCAATAGGCTTGTTTTTCCATCTGTTAAAGAGAAATCCTCCCAGGATTCCACAATGTGCAGGCGGAAAGGCACCAATCCTAAAAAAAAGTATTCCTTGTTATTGCTTCCTTTTCTTATTTAACTTGGCTGGGTAAGAAGTTCCTGCTCAAACTGGCAAAAGTAAATCTGGCAAACCCAGGCCTACAGCACACTTTGCTGACACAGCAGTGTCGTTCAGTATATAAATTTCTGGATTTCACAGAATCATGGAATTGTCAAGAGTTGGAAGGGACCTCTAGAGATCACCTGGTCCAACTCCCCTGCTAAAGCACCTAAAGCCCATTCCACAGGACTCTGCTTTTGAACATCTCCAGAGAAGGGGACTCCACAGCCTCCCTGGGCAGCCCGTATGAGACAACCATTCTGGTTTAGAAGTCACCTTGCTGGGATATCTCAGCAGGTAACATCAGTACAAGCATTTTTTCCACAGACCACATTATAAACTCTACCTCTGCTAGAGATGTTGGACGGTTTACCTCTCACACAGCACTCCTCAACAAGGAGCTGGAAAGACTTCCAGAGAAAGCCTGTACCACCAGGACTTCCCTGCACAGGTGGCCCCTCAAGCAGCACCCTTGTAAAGGTGCAGAATCAGGTGGCACCCCAGGCAGCTCCTTTAGAAGAACCTCGGCTGCTGCTCTTTTCCACAGCGCAGCAGATCCTTGCCCTGATCACTAAATGTTGTAATCAACAGTCCCCAGGATGGCTTGGGGAACATAAAGCTGAGCACAAGCAAATCTGCACAGAACTAAGCCCTGTGGTCTCGGTTCTGTTACCTACACTGCACAGATGGGCTGCTGGTACCACCAAACTCCCTCCAGGTGCAGGGGATCTGCCAAATGCAGTGCCCATTACCAGACCCAGGGCCAAGTGCAACACCTCAACACCACCAGCTTGCTTTCCAGTGCTCTTTGAAGTCCAGACAAACAATATTTTTTTCCTAGCACAATAAAGATCTTTCCCCCCTGAAGTTACTAAATATATTCTGCTGGTGTCACAATAGCACAGACTTGCCAGGGCTTCCTTTGAAATCCCTTCGTAAACTTCACTCGACAGAGAAAAACACCGAGTGCAACGTCACTCCTCTCTAGGCTCAGAAATAACAACGGGGGTGGTTTGTTTTTAACTTAACAAATATCTAATGAAAAAAATAAATCAAGTAAGGAAGTTTTTTGTTCCCGTTTTAGCCCCCATCACCGTGGCTTCTGAGGGCATTTGTTGGTTGTTTATTTTGCTAACAACGGCAGATAACTCCACAGAATGTCATCGGGTAAACACTTTGTTCAGAAGAGAACCTCTTTACAGCCACAGTCTCCTTTTAAAAACTGTCTAATTATGCTCTTGTTCTATCTCATGATCTTGCCCTCTATACAATAAGCCTTTCTGCACCATATACTCACTAAAATCGATGCCTTTTGAGCTCGTATTTACAAAATAAGCCACAGAGACTTCTTAAAACTTGCCTCCCGCCTCGAGGAGTGCCAATGCCTTCAAGCTGCATGCAAATACAGCAGTAGATCTGAAGCAGCTGCATTAACATTTCTTTTCTCCAGAAGGTTTTGAAGGCCCTAACGTGCACTTACGCAAACCAATGTTTAAACTACCTGCAATTATTTGGGAGAGTCACCCAGTGATCCCAGCGCAGGCCCGGCAGCCAGGATGGCTGGATTCCATTATTGCTAACTCTGCCACTCCATGACCTTGAGCAAGTTGGTTAACCTCACCTCAATTTGCTCATCTACCAAGGCACATATTCTGCAAGGGCTTTCAGTAGGTGGACAGTCACATTTGAGCTGGCAGAACTGCTCTGGTACTTTGCAAAGCCTGGGCTGAATTATGCTACTGTTTACCTCTTTACAGGATGATGAGAAACATAATTAGCAACTGTCTCCAGGATGCTGTAAATTGAAGCAGTCTCAGAGCGTTACCTATTAGCACAGGTGACTCCAACACGCATAAATCGTGCTGAGATGGACAGACAAATTCATTAGGACCACGTTGTTTTTTGTTCAGGCGCTGAAAAGGCGACGGTGACCACAAAAAAACCCACAATCATTCAAACGCAACCGGGAGTCCTGCAGAAGCCGGGCAAAACACAACAGCAGCTGTGCTGCTGCACGGCCCGGGAG